CCAGCCACTCCTCGGAAGGAAGGTTGGGCAATCCTACTTCCGTAGTGATACTGCCTCGGAAACCCAAGGAGGGGTCGCTATGAGTCGGGGGCGACTCGACGGCAAACAACAACAACAACAACAACAACAGGGTATATACCTAGGAGTGGGATTGTTGGGTCATGGGTAAGTCTATTTCTATTTTTTTTAGAAAGTGCCATGCCGTTTTCCATAGTGGTTGCACCATTTTATAGTCCCACTGCTGGTGGCAACAATGGGTAAGAGTTCCAATCTCCCCACATCCTTGCCAACATATATGCCACTTTCCTTTTCTTATTACCATTCTTGTATGTGCTGTATCTCAGACTATTTCCTCTTCTGGTTCTTATTTATTCCTTCTCTTTCATTTCGTAATCAAAGTTATCAGCTACATCTTTATTCTTATCTCAATTTCAACCTTACTTCTCATTTTTATTTATTCCGTAGTTCTTTCTCTAACTTAATTTTGATCCTTAGCTCATTGTTCTTTTTTTAATCTATGTATTAAAGTGTCAATTTTCTTTCTGCAAGTTTCACATGTAATATTTTCAGTATCATTCCAAAATATTTTTAATTTCCATTATGTTTCCCTCTTTTAACAAATTAGCTATTTGTTTTTACATTTCCAAATGTACATATGCATACCTACTTTTTGAAAGTCTGCTTTATGCTATTCCCATTTTATGAAATACCTAGTTTTAGGAGCTCTGGTAGCATAGTGGCTAAGGCACTTGATGGCTAACCAGGAGGCTGGAAGTTCAAACCCACCAGCCACTGCTCGGAAGGAAGATGGGGCAATCTACTTCTGTAGTGATACTGCCTCGGAAACCCAAGGAGGGGTCGCTATGAGTCGGGTGCGACTCGATGGCACATAACAACAACAACAACAAGTATCTGTTTAACCTAACTGAAAGAAATAGGAAGAGGGTTTTCCCTTGCACTCCAAGTAACAAGAGTAAAACTACACAGAACCTACATTATTTCTATGTTATACAGGCTGTGTATTTATTCTATCATTCCTACTTTTACTATTTGTTAGTGTTATTTTAGGTTTTGTGTGTTATTTGGTATGATTCAGTAGTCCATGGCATGGAATAGGCACACAACGAGTATCTGATTTAATAAACTCAAGAAATACTTTAAGAAAACTACCAAAGTGGCTTAACCGTATTTAAAAGAAATATTCCATATAAAATATACAAATATATAATACAATAAAATAAATAAAAATGACCTCATTTTCCATCAGTATTTAAAAGTATACTCAAGAAATATATACACTCTTACTTGAACAAATACTTTGCCCAAACGATGCAATGAATAGGTTCTGAAGGTGTGTTACGAATTGTACAGCCAGGAAAAGTTCTCTGGGTTGGTTTAGGATGACATTCATAACACTCGGTTACACCCTGCCAATTCAGGAAATGAGAAAAATATTTCATAATGATGGTTTCTTGACATTATGGAGTAATATAATCATGAACATTTCATTTATTTATCTGTGTTCCAGTTGGATTTTATACTGCCAAGAAAATCTGAAAATATCAGCAACTCCTCAAATCCCTGTTTTACAGGTAAAAAAATGCTATCACAAAAGTTAACTGAGTCAACCACAGTCATACAGCTAAGGCTAAGCCAGGATTCCTATGACTCCTGGCCCAATGAAAATTAATTATACCAAGTCAAATAAAAATCATTATGCCTGAATATCAAATTTGAGAAGTTTATCTTGATTGCATTAAAAGAGAAAGAAAAACTACTAGCTTTCCATCAATACTCTCTCAAAGTTGTGAAAAACAGTTATTTAAATATTCATAGCTATATACTCATAATCTTCTAATTCCTCAGATATCTAGATACACAGAAAAGACCTAGGTATTACCAAACCAAATGCTCTGTGTGTGTGTGTGTGACATAATGATCAAGTTCAAAGTCGCACTATAAATAATCTATGCCCTAGAAGTTTATGGCAACTGAGACAATTTTTATAACCATCAAAGGAATCTTTTCTTTTTATCTCCCTAATTTTCAACTAAGAGCTCTGGTAGCATAGTGGCTAAAGCACTTGACTGCTAACCAGAAGGCTGGCGGTTCAAACCCACCAGCCACTCCTCGGAAGGAAAGTTGGGCAATCCTACTTCCATAGTGATACTGCCTCGGAAACCCAAGGAGGGGTTGCTATGAGTCGGGGACGACTCGACGGCACATAACAACAACAATTTTCAACTGGTATTTTAGGATAGTAGTAATAATGAGGTGTAAAAAGCAGCAATGCCTTTCTAACTCTTTAAGATACTTTGTTTTAGTGTAAATATAAAATAAAATGTTCTGTTTTAATATAAATCACACAGACACAAAGTTTGCTCCATTATATTATTTATCAGCTCCTCCAGCCTTCCAGACTATACTTTCTTGGAATAGCTATATGGCATGCAACCATCTCTCCCATTTGGGGAAAAAAAAAAAAAAAAAAACAAGAAATACTGCCTTGGCCTGTCAGAAGATCATGAAAGGCCTCCACTGACTTAATTAAATTTAACAAACACTGCCAGTGTACAGCAGTCTTTGTAGAATGATACTAAATAAGTTTTAATAGTTAAAACAAATGGAACCACAATTTTCAACATGGAAAAACTGCCACACACACACACAAAGGCTACATAAATAGTACATTTTAAGTACAGTTTTTTCAGTTTCAAAAACTACCAAAAGCAATTTTAAAAATTTATCTATGTTTAATTTTAGACTAAAAGAAAGAAGATCTAAACAGCAAATGAGTTACAACGTTGAGGTTTTATAAAACTGAGTTATAAATACACAGGTGTCCATATATCATTTAGTTTTAGCTAAATGTTTGAAAATTTTCACATATATACCAAAAGTTTTCAAGGTTTTCTTCAGATCTCTGAATGCAGACTTCTTTAGACAGAAAAAGCTTTTTAGACAGCCTGCTTTACCATATTTGAATTATAGCTTGACATACAGTCTATCTCATGGCTACAAAGAATTTTAAAAGGTAAGTTTATTACGCTTACCAGTCTGAGATTTTTAGTAAGAGTCAAGTGAACTGACATGGCACAGAACTAAAAGGTCTCTTTGCCTGTATAATTTTTGGGGGTACCTTTAAAGAATCCTAAATAATAAAATGAATTAAGGGTAACACTGTGAATTACGGATAATGTTGAACTCATGCAGAACCTATACATACACCAAGAGGCAGTGGGCTGAACAGAACAAGTGGATATTATGTGGTTTAAAATCAGGAAAGGATCAGGGTTGTATCCTTTCACCACACTTATTCACTGTGTGTGCTGAGCAAATAACATGAGAAGCTAGACTACATGAATTAGAATGCAGCATTAGGGATTGGAGGAAGACTCATTAGCAACCTGTGATATGCAGGTAACACAACCTTACTTGCTCACAGTGAAGAGAACTTGAAACACTTACTGATGATAATCCAAGACTACAGCCTTCAGTATAGATTACATCTCAACATAAAAGAAAACAAAAATCCTCCCAAGTGGACAGTAAATATCATAATAAATGGAGAAAAGACTAAAATTGTCAAGGATTTCATTTTACTTGGATCCACAATCAATGCCCATGGTAGCAGCAGTAAAGAAATCAAACGTATTGTATTGGGAAAATCTGTTGTAAAATGTCTTTTTAAAGTTTTAAATAGCAAAAATACCACTTTGAATACTAAGGTGTGTCTGATCCAAGCTATGGTATTTTCAACTGCCTCATATGCATGTGAGAGCGGAACAATGAATAAGAAGACTGAAGAAGAACTGATGTGTTTGAATTATGGTGCTGATGAATACTGAATATACCATGGAGGGTCAGAAAAAACAAATCTATCTTAGAAGAAGTCCAGCTAGCAATGTTCCTTAGAAATGAGGATGGTAAGACTTTGTCTCACATACTTTAGACGTTTTTTAAGGAAGGACATCATGCTTGGTAGAGAATCAGAAAAAGAGGAAGAACCTCAATGAGACAGAATGACGCAGTGGCTGCAACAATGGGCTCAAATGTACAACAATTTTAAGTATGGTACAGGAGCAGGCAGTTATTTTGTCCTGTTTTACCTTGGGGCTGTGATAGAGCTGTGGAAACCCAGTTAAGGGCAAGCAGACAGGCGCCACACCCAGATGAGGGAGGCGGGGGAGGAGCCGGGGCCCAGACAGAGATGCGAAAACCCAGGCAAGTGCAGGCAGACAGGCAGGCAAACACCAGAGGCAGGGAAGGAGCCGGGGCTGAGACAGAGCTATGGGATCCAGGTAAGGGGATGGAGACAGGCCACATACCCAAGAGGCAGAAAGGGGGAGAAAAGCCAGGGAGACAGAGCTGCAGGATCCAGGTAAGGGAAGTGGGGAGAGGTTTCGAACAGCTAAAGAACACAAACTTGCCTGTCAGTTTGTCATACTGTGGTGGCTTGCGTGTTGGCTTGAGGCTGTGCCACCAGTGTCTCAAATGCCTGGAGGGTAGCATATGGTGCACAGGTTTCAACACAGCTCACAGACTGAGACAGATAAGGAAGAAGGAATAGGCCACACAGTTCTTAAAAAATCGGCCAAGGAAAACCTTATCAATAGCAGAGAAACACTGTCTGATACAGTAAAGGAAAACCAGCCCCTTAGGTCAGAACACACTCAAAATATGACCGGCAAAGAGCTGCATCATGAGAGTAGAATCTACCTTACTGATATGGATAAAGTAAAGCTTTTGGGACCCCCATTTGCTGATGTAGCATGACTCAATTTGAAGAGAAACAGATGCAAACATCCATTAATCATAGGAACACAGGTTGTACAAAGTATGACTCTAGGAACGTTGGAAATTGTCCAAAATAAAATGGAACTCAAAAGATAGAAATCTTAGGCATTAGTGAACTGAAATGGACTGGCTTTGGCCATTCTGAATCAGCAGACCGTATGATCTACTATGCCAGGAATGACAGTTTGAAGAGGAATGTCATGGCATTCATCATCACAAAGGATGCATCACGCTCTGTCCTGAAGTACAATGCTGTCGGTGATAGGATAATATCCCTACACCTATAATAAAGACCTGTTAATACTACTATTATTCAAATTTACACACCAACCATCAATGCCAAAGATGAGGAAACTGAAGATTTTTATCAACCTCTGCACTCTGAAATTGACCGAACATGCAATCAAGATGTGTTAATTATCACTGGTGAATGAAATGCCAAAGTTGGAAACAAAGAATTACTGGTAGTTGGCTAATGCTGGAGACCGCATGATAAGAATTTTGCAGCTCCAACAACTTATTCATTGCAAATACCTTTCTTTTTTCAACAACACAAATGGCGGCTATACACATGGACATCACCGGATTCCCATTCACCACACAGGAATCAGACTGACTACCTCTGTGGCAAGAGGCGATGGAAAAGCTCAGTATCTTTAGCTAAAACAAGGCCAGGAGCTGACTGGGGAACTGACCATCAACTGCTCATATGCAAGTTCAACTTGAAGTTGAAGACAATTAAAACAAGTCCACGAGAGCCAAAATATGACCCTGGAATATATCCCTCCTGAATTTAGAGATCATCTAAAGTACAGATTTGATGCACTGAACACCAATGACCAAAAGCCAGAAGAATCATGGGATGACATCAAGAACATCATCAATGAAGAAAGCAAGAGGTCCTTCAAAAGACGAGAGAGGAAGAAAAAATCAAAATGGATGTTAGAAGAGACTAAAAATTGCCCTTGAGCAAAGAGTAGCTAAAGTAAACGGAAAAAAATGACAAAATAAAAGAGCTGAACAGAAGATTTCAAAGAGCAGCTCAAGCAGACAAAGCCAATTACTATAATGAAATGTGCAAAGACCTGGAATTAGAAAAGCAAAAGGGAAGAACACGCTTGGCATTTCTCAAGCTGAAAGAACTAAGGAAAAAATTTAAGCCTCAAGTTGCAATACTGCAAGATTCTGTGGGCAAAATACTGAACGAGGTAGAAAGCATCAAAAGAAGGTAGAAGTAATACACAGAGTCATTGTACCAAAAAGACCTGGTCAATCTTCACCCATTTCAGGAGTGGCATATGATCTAGAACCAATGGTATTAAAGGAAGAAGTCAAAGTTTCACTGAAGGAACTGGTGAAGAACAAGGCTCCAGGAGTTGATGGAATACCAATTGAGATGTTTCAACAAACAGATGCCCCACTGGAGGTACTCACTCAGTTATGCCAAGAGATTTGGAAGACAGCTACCTGTCCAAGTGACTGTAAGAGATTCATATTTATACCCATCCCAAAGAAAGGTTATCCCACAGAACGTGGAAATTATCGAACAGTACCAATAATATCGCATTCAAGTAAAACCTTACTGAAGATAATTCAAAAACGGTTGCAGCAATATATTGACAGAGAACTTCCAGAAATGCAAGCTGGATTCAGAAGAGGACACAGAATAAGGGATATCATTGCTGATGTCAGATGGATCTTGGATGAATGCAAAGAATACCAGAAATACCAGAAAGATGTTTACTCATGTTTTATTGATTATGCAAAGGCATTTGATTGTGTGGATCATAACAAATTATGGGTAACATTGACAAGCATGGGAATTCCAGAATACTTAAGTGTACTCATGAGGAACCTGAACAGAACAAGGGGACACTGCATGGTTTAAAATCAAGAAGGGAGTGCATCAGATTTGTATCCTTTCACCATACTTATTTAAACTATATGCTGAGCAAATAATCTGAGAAGCTGGACTATGTGAAGAAGGTGGCATCAGGATTGGAGGAAGAATCATTAACAAGCTACGTTGCACTGATGACACAACTCTGCTTGCTGAAAGTGAGGATAACTTGGAGCACTTACTGATGAAGACTGAAGACTACAATCTGCAGTATGGATTACATCTCAATATAAAGAAAACAAAAATCCTCACAACTGGACCTATAAGCAGCATCACGATAAATGGAGAAAAACATTGCTTGGTTCTACAATCAACGCCCATGGAAGCAGCAGTCAGGATGTCAGACGACGTATGTTGTTGTTGTTACTTGCCGTCGAGTCGGACCCAACTCACAGAGACCCCTCCTTGGGTTTCCGAGGCAGTATCACTACGGAAGTAGATTGCCCCATCTTCCTTCCGAGGAGCGGCTGGTGGGTTTAGCAGTCAAGTGCCTTAGGCACTATGCTACCAGAGACGACGTATAGCACTGGGCAAATCAGCTGCAAAGAACCGACCTCTTTCAAGTGCTGAGGAGCAAAGATGTCTCCTTGAGGACAAGGTGTACCTGACACAAGCCATGATATTTTCAATCACCTGATATGCATGTGAGAGCTGGACAATGAATAAAGACCAAAGAAGAATTGATGCTTCTGAGTTGTGGTGTTGGTGAAGAATGCTTAAAGTTCCATGGACTGCTAAAAGATCTAATAAATCTGTCCTGGAGGAAGTGTAGCCAGAATGTTCCTTGGAGGCAAGAATGGCCAGATTTCATCTCACCTACTTTGGTCATGTTGTCAGAAGGGACCATTCCCTGGAGAAGGATGTCATGCCTGGTAAGGGGACAGTCAAAGAAGGCAGGCAAGGCCCACAATGAGACAGACTGATACAGTGGCTGCAGCGATGGGCTCAAGTATAGCAAGGATCGTGGAGCTGGCGCAGGACCAGGCAGAGTTTCCTTATGCTGTGGATAGGGTCACTATGAGTCAGAAACGATTCAACCACACCTAACAACCACGTTGGGGTTGCAATAAGTTGTAACCAACTTGACAGCATCAAACAAGTTTTATATGGGCATAAAAATCCTTGTTTTGGGTAGTGACTTACTCATTTCATGCCAATAAAAAGTTTACTTCTTTCCTTCCTCAAGTCCAAATAAACATTTGCAAAGTAACAAAGAAATATGTTCTTTACCTTTTTGATAATAGTTACTTGTCCAAGATAACCAGCAGTTCCACTCTCAATAAGAGGTACATCAGCTGCCAAGCACATCCTATTTACATGGTTGCGGGCAGCTACAAGATAAATTCCAGTTAGCAAGTTTTTGAAAAACAGAAATAATTTATCTTTAATTAGGATGGCATTAGGCTAAACTACTTCTTATGCTTTTACTTTATGTGCAATTTTCTTATAGCTATACTCAAGGTAATTCAACTGTTAACTTGGAACATTCACTAGGGAAAATTTCAAGCACAAGGAATTTGTACAATAAATTAACTCCAGAAAACACATCCCTCAAACAAAATTTTTAAATCCTGAAGTGCCATTTTCACCTTCTATTGCTATGCTTACTCTATCTTAGGGAGCTCTGGTAGCGTAGTGCCTAAGGCACTTGGCTGCTAACCAGAAGGCTGGAGGTTCAAACCCACCAGCCACTCCTCAGAAGAAAGATGGGGCAATCTACTTTCCTAATGATACTGCCTCGGAAACCCAAGGAGGGGTCGCTATGAGTCGGGGCCGACTTGATGGCACATAATAGTAACAATAACAATAACAACAACAACTACTCTATCTTAACATTGGCTAAAATATTATTTCAATATTTTCAGAATCCTCAAGTCACTGCCATCAAGTTGATTCTGACTCACAGCGACCCTCTTGGACAGAGTAGAACTACCCCATAGGAAGTTTCCAAGGTTGTAACCTTTACAGAAGAATGCCGCATCTTCCTCCCCCACAGTGGCTGGTGAATTCCATCAGTGACCTTTCAACTAGCAGCCAAGTGCTTAATCTTTGTGCCACTAGGGTTTCTGTTCAGAGTCCTTAATGTGCTGTTTTAGTCTAATATAATTATCAAGTAAAACCTGAAGTGAATCAAGAATGTGGAATATCAAACTTAGAATTATTAAAGCAAGTTAAGGCTGGGGAAAAAAATTTAGGCTACAAGAATCATTCTGACTTTTTGTCATGCTACTTCATGTTCTTTTCTTTTGGCATTTCTAGCCCAAGACAATTAATTTGAGCATCATTACTGATGATTTTTCCTTTAAAAATGATTTTTACATTCTTAAATAAATTTGCCCAAGCCAAAAATTTTTCCAAAGAAATACAAATCAGATTATACAATTAACAACTTACTTACTAATAAATCCTTCTAAACATCCAACCTAATTCACCTGACATGTGTACTTTTACACACAGAAGTTACAGGCAAGAAATTTTATTTAAGTATATTTTCCCCCACCTTCCAGACACACACACTTGTTAAACACAAACTGGTTTTTTAATACATGATTATAGAGTATATGAAGCACCATCCAATACTATGAAAAGCTTGTTGTTGTTATTGTTTGCCATCGAGTCGGATCCGACTCATAGCGACCCCTCGAGTTTCTGAGGCAGTATCACTATGGAAATAGATTGCCCAATCTTCCTTCTGAGGAAGCGTAGAATATGTGTATCTACTAGAATCCAGTCTTATAATTAACGGCATCAGATCCACCTGAAATAACTGATGATGTTCATGGCCTCTATATTAACCTCAGTATTCTGTCACACTATATTTAAGTGCTCAAATAATTCAAACTCACATGCACACACACACACCACACCCTATGTAATCAGGCTCTTCAACTCTTTTAACTTACCCTGTATTTATATCTTTTGATAGAATAGCAGAGTATTAGGACAGCTAAATTCCTGCCTGGAACAAACCATTTCAAGGTAAAACTACAATTTATTGGCAACCTTTAAACCTGATCTTCTCTTTAAATCTGTAAATTCTAACTCATAAGCAAATATTTTAATTAATACTAAATTTATAAATGGCCTTGATATGGAGAAGGAGAACTACTTCAAAATTAAAAGTATTAAAATAATCTCACCTCTGTTATCTAAAGCATTCATAACCAATATAAACTGTCGAAAAAATTCCACATTATAGTCGGGGCTACAAAGCAAAACAAGAAATGATCACCAAACTGGCTTACACACGATCTTCACAGTATAGTACAGGGTCCTAAGAAGCATAATAAAGAAATGGTAATAGTACAAAAACAACTGACGTTAGGAGTATCTACAATATAGATAATAAGGTTTGACTTTTTCTGAACACAGTAAGTAGGTTTTAAAGAAATCATTTTCTCAAAATTCCTACAAGTGACTACGTATCTTTTTTGGCCAGTTACCTGTGGCCCAAGAGCAAGATCTCAAACAGGCAGAATGGCATGACTTCACTAGTCTCACCAGACCTTCTCTGGGCAGTAAGTGCCTGGGAACACACAAAGAATACATTCCCAGGATCTGACTAGCCTCTGGCTTCACCTCACATGGTCAAGATCAGGCTCAGTTAAGGCCCCTAGGGTCCCTGCTTTTAGCAGCACTGGGAAAGCAACACAGGGTTGTAGGATTTTATGCAAGCTTATAAAGAAAACATCCAGAGAATAAAAAATAAGTTGGAGACAGAAAATCCTTGAGAAAAGTATATAATTTTCTTTCATCCCAGTACTCCAAATAAGGACTACTTATTTTTAATACCATTTACTTATGAGCTAAATAACAAATAATTTAGGCCCAGAGTTCCTCTGCCAACACCTATAAAATTATGCATTTACTTTATGTATCTTCAACTAACATCAGAGTGTATTTAACTACTGTCAAAACTACTAATCCATCACAGTTCCCAGTGTTATACTGTAGAAGTTATAGAGTGTTAATAAACATGAAGGGAGCCTTTTAAGGAGAAAAATCCAACAGTTCAAATTGGTCAAAACGAAAAATACATTTAGAAAAGTCTGAATCATCACACATGTAAGCATTTCATGGTTCAAAATATCTTATTTAAAATGAGAATAAAAAAGCCTTTATATGGAGAGTGTATCCAAGATCATATACAGGGTTGGCAGACAAAGGGCCTCTCGAAGAGTATGAAGGGATGGACACTGGGAGGAGGTAACTATGGGGAGGAAGTGGGAGGGGAGCTGCTGCATTGTAAATTTTGGTCAATGACATGAGACAAAGTATATGTGAACTGCTGTATGAAAAGTGAATTTACTCTGTAAATCTTCACCCAAATCCTAATTAAAAAAAAAAAAGCCTTTATAAATTTCCAAGTAACTAAGTTAGTAGAATTCTCACCTCTTACGCTTAAACCATTCAGTCTATATATATAAACTATCAAAGGAATGCTACTTACGGGGGCACAAACTACCATATTTTAATCATTCAACTAAAACATTTAAAAAAAGTAGAATGACTTTGAACTTAGTGTTTGGCTAACAAAAATATCTTGTATTTTAAAAATCTAATTCCAAAATCACAAAAAACCCGATTTTACAATATTGTAATTAGAGCATACCTCATGATGCTGTCATGATAGGCTATGATATTAGCTTTTGGGTAAAACTGCAGTACACTTTCTTTGGCAACCTGGAAAAACAAACAACGCTAAATTACTAATAACCAAAAAAAACCACCAAACTCACCATCATCGAGTCAACCCCGACTCACAGTGACCCCTCCTTGGGTTTCTGAGGCTATATTTCCATGGAAGTAGATTGCCCAATCTTCCTTCTGAGGAGTGGGTGGTGGGTCTGAACCATCAGCCTTCAGGTTAGCAGTTAAATGCCTTAGGCACTATGCCACCAGAGCTACAGTATTTTTATCTGTATTTGAAATCTACTTCTGACAGAAACTTTATACTTAATTACAGAACAAGCTATACAGAACTTCCAGTTTCTGTATGGAGGAACTCTGGTAATGTAGTGGTTAAAATGTTTGGCTGCTAACCAAAAGGTCAGTGGTTCAAACCCACCAGTAGCTCCACAGGAACAAGAGAAGGCAGTCAGTTTCCATAAAGATTTACAGTCTTGGAAACCCTATGGGGCAGTTCTACTCTATCTCACAGGATCACTATGAATCAGAATCCACTTGATGATGGCAGCGCGTTTGTTTTTGTTTTCTATATAAATACTTATTTTAACAGTATCTTATATATACTGAAAACTAAAATACAAGTTCATTGAGAATAAACTATACACACATTTATAAAGTAACAGAAGAGCCCTCTCATAGGAACTGGCATATGAATGCAAGCTTCAGCAAAACTATAAACTTTGGTAACCAAATGTCAATTTATTCATTCAACATATATCTAATGCACATCTTCTATGTAGGAATTACCTAAAAAGCCACACTATTCACAGCATTAAGGTAGAATACATCTATTTCCTCTGTAGACCAGACCAAGAGTCCTTTATTTATTACGTATCTTTTTATTTTGCGTAATCTCTCAGCTAAAAAACTTCACACACTTTCTCCATCCTGCTGTAGAGTCAGAATTAATCTGATCTAAACAGATCTATTAAAGGGTTACAAAACTGTTGAGAAATATTAAGTTACCTGTGCCTTTGATCTTCCAACATGTTTCTTTTGAAACAAAAACTGCCTGTTGAGGTTGCTGACATCAATAGTATCCAGATCAATCTGTCAATGTATAAAATCCAGGTAAATCACATATGTTCCGACACATTTGAGCAACATGATTATCCTCAATATCTACGACCCAGAACTGGTATTACTACATTAGCAGAGAAAACGTTTTCAAAACCAATCATATCAAAATTGTTAACCTGGTCAAAATAATTTCTAACACATACAGAATAAGCCAAGATTAAATTTAAGAAATAGAGTTCTCAAAAATAGTTTAGAAAGGACAGTTTATTTCTGTTTAATCATCCTGGCAAGTATTTCAGTAAATTCCTTAGGTGGCATAAAAATTTATGTATATTTATTGAAAATTCATTATATAATTAATCTCCCCATCAATTTAATTAATTACTCTTTGAAATCCAGTACTTTAAATTTTGTACCCTGTTCCTTCTTTTAAATGATACTTGGCCAACAGAAAGGAATTCTGATGGTACATTGGTTAAAGCATGTGACTGTTGAATCCACCAGCTGCTCTGCTGTTTCTGTCAAAATTTACAGTCTCGGAGACCCAATGGGGCAGTTCTACTCTGTCCCATTCAGTTGATTCAAAGGCAGTTTGTCTGTTTGTGGCAGACAAATACACTGAATTTTTGCTCCCCTTTTTAATTCAAAAGTTTTCATCTATACAAAATTTCATTTACAATCTATAAAGAGAGACTTCTACACAGGGTTAAAAGTGTCACATTTTAAGTCTTACCTGAAATACCAATGGATAAATGGATAAACAAATCAAGATATACACAAGGGAATACTATGCAATGTTACAAGAAAAATGAATCCCTGAAACACTCATAATGTGCATGAACCTGGAAGACATTATGCTGAGTGAAAATAAGGCAATCACAAAAAGCCAAATACTGTATAAGTCCACTATTATAAAAAGTCAAGGAAAGGTCTACACACAGAAAGAAATATTCTTTGGTGTTCTCCGGGGATGGAAAATCACTAAGTAGATAAGAGATGCTTCTTAATTTGGGTGAAGGGAAAGGCAATATACAAAAAGGGGGTGAACAGCAAAATATCACTAAAGAAGACATGAAGAGGTGTGTAAGAGTTATGAACAACAAAGGTAAATAGTATTACATATAAAAAACAAACAAAATTCACTGCCATCAAGTCAATTCCAACTCATAGCGACCTTCCTTGGGTTTCCAAGGTGGTATCACTGCGGAATAGACTGCCCAGTCTTCCTGCTGAGGAGCAGCTGGTGGGTTTGACTCACCAGCCTTCTGGTTAGCAGTCAAATGCCTTAGGCACTAAGCCACCAGAGCTCCCACTATTACATATACAATCCTGTATTATCAGTAATAACAAACATTACAAGTGGATACATAGCTAAGCAGGCAAGATGAACAGGTATGGGTAGGCAAACGGGACTATACCCATGACCATATATAAGTTGGCACCACAATATTTTTGCCTATGTCTGTGTTGTACAAATATCCATGTATATAGGAAAGCAAACGGGACAGAGTTATGAAACCTTCTTAGCTATAATCAAAAACCTTGAAGGACTGAGTCGGTGGGCCTAGGGGCTAAGGACTATAGTCGTAGAGAACATCAAGGTCAAATGGCATAACATAGTCCACAAAGACAATGCTCTACATCCTGCTTTGGTTATTAACAACTGTAGTCTTAAGAGTTGGTGAATGGTCATCTAAGGTACAACTATTGGTCTCTTGCTTTCTGGAACAAAGAAGAGTGAATAAAATTAAAAGATGTATGGAAACAATTAGTCCAAGGACATCAATAGAAAAAGGGAAAACATAAATTAAAAGAACCACATGAGTATCATTATGGATGCAAGAAAAGTATTTAATAAAAATCAACACCCTTTCCTGATGAAAACCCTCATAAAGACTGGAATAGAAGCAATGTTCCTCAATATGATTAAGGGCATACATGAAAAGCCAATGGCCTAAATAGTACTTAATAGAGAAAGACTAAAAGCTTTCTCCTTGAAATCAAGACAAGGATGCCTACTCACCACTTCCATTCTAGCTACAGCAATAAAATAAAAAAAATAAATAAAAAGTATCCAGATTGGAAAAGAAGTAAAATTATTTCTATTTGCAAACTACATGATCCTATATACAGAAAAGCCCAGAGTTCCTAAGAAAACTACTAGAGTTGATAGAGAAATTTAGCAAAGTTGCACAGAATAAGATCAACAAACAAAAATCAGTTGGATTTCTATACACCAGCAATAAGAAATCTGAAAGGGAAATTAGGGAACTGATTGCATTTACATTAGCAGTAATTTCACGCCTAAATATATAGTATCAAAAGACTTGAAAGGAGAGACTCTTAAGAGAGACTTGTACACCATTATTTACGGTATTGTATTCACAGAAGTCAAGATAACGATCTCAATGCCCTTCAACAGATGAATGAATATAATAAAATGTGGTACATACATATAATAGAATACTACTCAGCCAGTAGTAGAAATGGTATCTTGACACATGCTGCAGTATGGACAGAACATGAAGACATGCTACATAACCTCACTTGTATAATCATACCATTGATTATTCTAAGAGATACTGGTAAGTTGTACACCTGTAAAAACTTGAATTGCCAAAAGCTGTATGAGAGACATATTTACAATAAGGGAAAAAAAAGTAGCTGCTGGACTGATTACATACAACCAAGTATCTCACGGGATGTGGTTTCTTGGTTTGGAGGGTTACAGTCAAGGTTTTATGGGACATCCCAGTTAACTGGACTAATGAAGTTTTAAGTGCTTTTGTACATCGTAGTTCCATGTATGGTATCTAGGGTCTTATTAACTTTTAAGTGTCCATTCAAGGTACAACAATTGGTCTCTCATCTCCTGGAGCAACCGAGGAAGGAGAGTCAGGAACAGGAGGAAGAAATATAATGTATAGTTAGATGCTCCATGAACAACTGCCTTTTTTGCAGCAAGACTAGAAGAACTGGATGGTGCCTGGTTACCATTACTGAACATTTTAATCAAAGATTCTGTAGAAGAATCCAGATTAAAAGAGGGAAAATGTAGAACAGAAATTCTCACCGGCTCCAGATTTTTTAGAGCCATGGAATGGAGGGAGGCTGACCAACCCCTGAAACTACTGCCCTGAGATAACCTTTAAACTCAAACCCAAAAATATCCCCTTAAGTCTTCTTAAAACCGAACAATTGCTTAACTAGTAAAAATGTCTGCCTTGAGCATTATGGTCTTTTAAGAAACTATCGATATGGAATCAAATTTACAATAGCAATTGGAAAGACTAGATAGGAAGCTAAAGGGGCAGTGAGCTTATGGTACCTGAGGAGAAGTAATTCAGAAAAGGGTGAAAGAATGGTTGCACAACTGGGAGAATGTAATCAACGTCAGTGCACTACACATGTAGAAACTGTAAAATTCGTCTGTTATACAGTGTATTTTTCTCAACTGCAACAACAAATTTGTTTCAGAAAAATTTTCATTAAAAAAAAAAAAAATTCATTTCTGCCAAAAGGGAGATTATCTCAATACATAAGACTAGCTCGGGTCAGATTTAATTAAAGAAACAAACTTTCACATACTGACTTAACCTTAATATAAACACATTCTCAGGGAAAAAGCAATGAACCAAATACATTATTTTAGAAAAGTTCGGTTAATTGAGACAAGTAAAATGATAACCAACATCTTTAGTGAAATAAGCGCGTATACTACCGTATCTCGAGTGATAATGACAGCCACGCAGTACGTCTGGACCGAGCGGGGAGCATAACCCCAAAGGAAGCCTGTTAACTTGCTTCGAGATCCAGAGTAAGTTACTAAAACATACTACATCTCACTTTTCTCATCTCTCAAAAGTAAAATGGGATTAAAATAGCGTCTGCACCCAAAAGCGTTAATGAAATCAAATGTAGCACTCAATTCAATGTAAACCGTTCGGGAGGGCAGCGCTGTGCCCGGACGTAGTAGTGCTCAGTACATTCTGGCGACTACTACTGCCCTCTTCTGCTCTGGGTCACTGAGTTAGGGTTGTTATTTGAATCAGTCTCCACGTCCACCATGGACTAAAGAATCACCTCCTGCTCGGTATTAAAGCTAGGGAACTGCTCCGAAGTGAAAAGACAAGAAGCTGCTTTCAAGCCACAGAGCCGCCACAAACTGGCTTTGCCTCGGAGACCGGGAACCGCCGGGCCGCAAGGCGCGGGGAAAACTAGGGCCCGCGCGCGGCCTCCTGGACGCCAGGAGCGGGACTCGGCGTGTAGCTGAGGACCGCCCGGCCCTCACGGATCAGCTCCCTCTAAGCTGCAGCTGTGATTCTCGGGTCTCTTAGCCCACCCCACATCTCCAACTCTGGTCTGGATCTCTGGACCCCTACCCCTCAGCCCGGCATTACAGCCCGCCATTCAGCCGGCGCACGCGCTAGGCCCTCACCAGATCAATATGGGAGAAGCCAGTGAGCACGAGGTTCTTGAGGAGCTCACAGCCGATGCCGCCCGCGCCCACCACCAACACGCGGCCCCCGGCCACGGCCTCGGCGAGCTCCCGGGGCAGCCCTTGCGAAAGTGCCATGGCGAGACGACCACGAGCGGTTGCGGAGGCGGGAGAACAGAGCAGGAAACGGGTGGGGGAGGGGCAGACCAGCTTCCGCTTCTGCGCACAGTAACAGCCAGCCAGCGCCGAGTGGGAGGTACACCCGGCACGCATACCTAGAGCCAAGGCGGAGCCTTGCGCGAAAGACTGATCAGACTTCTGGCTGTATAAGTTCCTGGTTGTGATTTTTTTACAGATATGTACAGACCCGCTCTCGTGCTAAGACGTGTAAGGGTTTATTTATGGGTTAGAAAATAGATGTGCCTATACGTAAAGAGCTCTTACCACCTAACAAGTGTCATTCAAACGAAAAATACAGGCAAAGAATGTGAATGAACACTCACAAAAGGACGATACTCTTTAGTAAGTATACTAAAATGTAATCAAAGACATGCAAAATAAATAGTATTAAAACTATTTTCGAAGCTCTGGTAGCATAGTGCCTAAGGCATTTGACTGCTAACCAGTAGGCTGGCAGTTCAAACCCACCAGCCACTCCTCAGAAGGAAGTTTGGGCAATCTACTTCCATAGTGATACTGGCTCGAAAACCCGTTGGGACTCAAGGGCACATAACAACAACAACGAAACTATTTTCACCTCTCAAACTGGCAAAGAAAAAAAAATAATGCTCTGTAGATGACGATTCTAAATTGGCTAAACTTTTTCAGAGGGCAATTAGGCAACATCATTTAAAAACTCTAAAAGCCTGTATAGCTTTTGATTCTCATTCCAAGTCTCGGGATGTGTCCTGTGGCAGTCATCTCTGATTTTTAAAAAGAGATTCAGATATAGGGATGCTAATAACAAGGACAAAAATTGGAAAATTACATAAATGGCCCAACGTTTTATTTATTTATTTATTTTGCTGTACATTTCAACAAATACAAGCAAAAAGTCATGTGGGAATAAGTACTTAATGATGGTATGTTGTTATGTGCTGTCTTGTCGGACCCGACTCATAGCAACCCCTCCTTGCATTTCGGAGGCAGAGCTACCAGAGCTCCCAATGATGGTATAAATGCTCTTAGTATGTGAAGAAGACCATTCTAAAAACTGAGACTCTTAACATGAGTAAGATCCCTAAGGTCTTGAGGCAAATGTTGCCTTTTCATCTCTCTTGTACTTTTCTGTCATAAAATGCAAAAATTTTACCTCTAAAAATTTCCACTGCACCTTGGACCTAAAAAGAGCAGATATACAGAAAAATGTGGTTTTGCTTGCTCACATAGGTGTTAAAGAAACAAGTTGTAGTTAAGCCTCAAAGAGATGCACTCATAGAATATAAACTATTAGAGACATGCGTATAGCTTTTCTGTGTCAAAACCCTTTCTCCCCTGAAGCATAAGAAGACAGCATTTTCATTTATGATCATTTTATTCTTTCAATAAACTTTAGCTTTTATCTTTTAACAGAATCCACCAGTAAAATAAGCAACATCATGATAAATGGAGAAAAGATTGAAGTTGTCAAGGGTTTAACGTCCATGGAAGCAACAGTTAAGAAATCAAAGGACAAACTGCAATGGGCAAATCTATTGCAAAAGACCTCTTTAAGGTATTAAAAAGCAAAGATGTCATTTTGAAGACTAAGGTGAACCTCACCCAAGCTGTAATATTTTCAATAGCCTTATATGCATGTGAAAGCTGGAAAATGAATAAGGAAGACTGAAGAAGAACTGATGCATTTGAACTGTGGTGTGGTGAAGACTACTGAAAATACCAAGAACTGCTAGAAGGACAAACAAATCTCTTGTGGAAGAAGTGTAGGTGTATGTTCCTTAAAAATGGGAATGGTGTGAGCTGCTGTTTCGAAAGTGAATTTGCTCTGTAAACTTTCACCCAAATCAGAATAAAAATAAATAAATGAGAATGGCTAGACTTTGTGTCATGTACTTTGGTCATGTTAGAAGGGACCAGTCCCTGGAGAATGCTATCATGGTTGGTAAATCAGAGGGTCAGTGAAAAAGGGGAAGACAGTCAATGAGATGGATTGACACAGTGGCTGCAACAGTGGGCTAAAGCATAACAATGATTGTGAGGATGGCACAGGACTGGACAGTGTTTTGTTCTCTTGCACATGGGGTTGATTAAGAGTTGGAGCCAACTCAATGGCACCTAACAACAACAATCAGTATAATGCAGATCTGATTCTATTACTGCTCCTTTTGCTTAAATGATCTAAGGTGCCAGGAAACTTAGGACTTTAGCACTCCGATGATCCTTGGAAAATGTCCCCAGACCCCCCTTTACATTATCCTATTGTTGCAGATAATTTCTGCTGGAGGTCCCACCCCACGTGGCTTCCAAGTCAATAATGAGAACACAAGGGTGATGAGGGTGAAGTATATTTATTGTAGACACAAGAACAAGGAACCCAGAGGACTCTGCCTCAGATTGAATTCCCTGAACAACAAATCGCTTCCATTTTTATACAATTCAAAACAAAGAAACCATGCATATACATACAGTTAGAAGAAAAATATTTGCATTTTTAAGAACTAATCAGCATCAGTGTGGGTGCATGGATGCCAGACGATGTGTTTTGGGGTTATGATGTTGAAAAGTTACTATCAGACAGAAATTTTGCACACCACACTCGCACAGCTGAGGGGAATTGACGTTAACTGCTTTTTCCCAGTTTCCCCTAGTTCTTGACTTCTGCTGGCTTCTCATATTTACTTCCGATGTTTCCTCATTCCAGAAGAGGGTTGGCCATTACATAGGAATGCTGGAAGTGGTCTCAATTCTCTCCTTTTTGTATTTAAGGCTCATTCTTCAGCTGCTAAAAACTGTTGAGCTTCTTTTTGGACTATAAAGTACACTGCATACTGTTCTGGGTTCTGCTTGCTAAGTGGAATGTAAATGGAAACCTGTTGAGGAACCATAATGTTGATGGCAGATAAGCCTGGGAACAACTTTAACAAAGCTGCTAAGTATACATAGCAAAAACATACACACAATATTATAAACACTATAGGAGTAACCAAGTGGCCATAACCAACTAAAGCTTGGGAATAAGGAAACTAGCCAATTCCACCACCTGCCTGAGTCTAAAGAGGGGCCCCAGGGTCCAGATGGCAACTTGATCAATTTCATTTAGACCAACTTCAACCTCAATGCTCATATTGATCCAGACAGCATGTGGTTTTGACCACGGCACAAACTCCCCTTCTCTGGCTAGGATGTAATCTAAAGCCAAACAGTTGTCTCAGATGACAACTGCCAAGGAGTTTAATGGCTTTTGTTGCACCTTTATGGCTTTGTTAGGTGCTTTGGACAAAATATGAATGGTATCTGATAAAATGAGAACATTTGTAAGCTGGGGAAAAAAGGTAAGTGTCCTAAGTATGAACCATCCAGTGCCAGTTTCCATAATAAGGTTAAAGCCTGTGCCTCTTAAATGCAAATCCTCATTTGTTCATTGCATTGATTTTCTTTTATGAGAGGCTGAGCTAGGGTTAGATGGAGCCATGAGTCTAGTGACATTGTAGTTACAACCACTGGAAAGGAGATAATTCCTGTGGTGTTATTACCCCATTGAGTTTTTGGCTGAAGATGTTTGTAGGCTAGAGTGTATTGGGTTTTCTCACTGAGTTTTTGGCTGAAGACATTCGAAGGCTGGAGTTTATTGGGTTTGGGTGGTATCATACCCACCAAAAGCCGTTAAAGAAATAGCCACATGGTGTACAAATGATATCATCAGGAAAACTAGCACTTTGTAATTCTGAGGTATTGAACTAGGTTCCCCAAAGGTCTGGTTTCATTTTGTTGCATCCTGGGTAAGTACCAAGGTTATGGGTGTTACTCCTTATTTGGCTAAGGATACTTGAGAAACTTTTATAGTCGTCCTTGGCTTGGGAGGTGTTCCAAGGGCTAGTGTAAGGGTTATTAGATTTGTCTGTCCAATAGAAAAGGCCCTTTGTGTCAAAATCCAGAGAGCTTTTAGCAAACTGAATGCAGACCTCTAAACCTTGTGAATCACCCATTTTCTTTCTGCTAAGATGGGGGCATCTTTAAGATAATCAGGGAGAATGGGGGCTTCCCAAGAATGCCTCATGGAGGAGGTAGTTGTTGGGAAGGGCTCATGAATCCAACAGTTTTTAAACTGCCCTCCTATAGCTGTGGATAAAGTAAATTATTATAATTAAATGTGCAAAGACCTCGAGTTAGAAAACTAAAAGGGAAGAACATGCTTGGCATTTCTCAAGCTGAAAGAACTGAAAAAAAAAAAAATTCAAGCCTCGAGTCGCATTATTGAAAGATTCTATGGGCAAAATATTGAATGATGCAGGAAACATCAAAAGAAGATGGAAGGAATACACAGAATCACTGTACCAAAAAGAACTGGTGGACATTCACCTATTTAAGGAGGTGGCATATTATCAAGAACCAATGGTACTGAAGGAAGAAGTCAAAGCTGCTCTGAAGGAATTGGCAAGAAACAAGGCTCCAGGAATTGATGGAATATCCACTGAGATGTTTCAACAAACGGATGTCACGTTGGAGGCATTTACTCTTTTATGCCCAGAAAATTGGAAGACAGCTACCTCGCCAGCTAACTGGAAGAGATCCATATTTTTACCCATTCCAAAGAAAGGTGATCCAACAGAATATGGAAATTTCGAAAAATATCAATAATACCACATACAAGTAAAATTTTGCTGAAGATAATTAAAAACTGGTTGCAGCAGTATATTGACAGGGAACTTCCAGAAATGCAAGCTGGAGTCAGAAGAGGACGTGGAACGTGGATATCATTGCTGATGTCAGATGGATCTTGGCTGAAAGCAAAGAATACTAGAAAGATGTTTACTTTTGTTTTACTGACTATGCAAAAGCATTTGACTGGGTGGATCATAACAAATTATGGATAACACTGAGAGGAACAGGAATTCCAGAACACTTTTGTGCTCGTGAAAAACCTGTCCATAGACCTGGAGACTATCATTAGAACAGAACAAGGGAATACTGCATGGTTTAAAATCAGGAAGAGAGTGCATCAGGGTTGTATCCTTTCACCATACCTATTCA